AAAGTATGTACTCAAACAAAATCTAAAACCACACAAACGACAACCCCTCTACTGCATCCGTCTCAAATCTGTTTCACCTACAGTACAAGCATACCGACACCGGCAAAGAGAGCAGTGGCAATGTAGGCTCCAAACTGCCAGTTGCCGACCTTGACAGCCATGGGGCTAGCGGCAACACCGGCGGCTCCCTTGGAAGTCGCACTGGCGCTGCCGGAGCCGGAGCCGCCAGTGGCACCGGCGGTCACGGAACCAGTGCCAGCAGTTCCGGCCTGGCTGATCAGAGAGGAGCAAGAGCCCGAGGCATCAGCAGCCTTCTTGGTCTGGGCCTTGCCATCAAAGTCACAGGCGGTCGCAGCCTTGTTGTTCTTCTTGTAGTACTGGTTCATGACGAAGGAGAGCTTCTGCTTGGGACTGCAGACGCTGTAAGCTCCGTAGTCACCGCTGGTGGAGTTGGAGTTGATTCCACCGCACACACCGGCGGCGCAGAGGTAGTCGAAAAGGTCACCGTACTTCTCCTCGTCCACAGAATCCTTCACAGTGCAGGACAGAGTCTCGACCATGCAGTCACACAGCTCACTGTTGGGAGTAGGAGGCAGCTTGTTGGAGGCTTCCCACTTGGTACCGACCGAAGGGCAGGTAGGAACGGCAGTGTTGGCGGGAGTGTAGCTTGCACTGTTCACACCGGTGGCCGTCACCTTCTGCATCTGAGAGGACAGGTAGGAGAAATCTTCCTTGGTCTTGACACTGTCGCCGTTGACCGAAACCAGACCGTAGTCGTTGGCCTCCTGGAAGTACATATAGACAATACCACCGCTCCAGACGTCGTTCATCTGGGGACCGAACAGAGCGGGGACATCGGTAAACTTGCGTGGCTTGGGGTCAATGCAGCCGTACTCCGAGAAGAAAGCAGGGACAGGGTACTTGGAAAATTCCTCAGTGCGCTCCTTGTAACCGGACGTCTCGAAGGAAGATTCACCGCACCACTCGTAAATGTTGTAGCCGAACATGTCGATAGAGCTCTCCTTATCACCACAGACAAGGTAGTCGGCCAAGTCAGCACGGATATGGGCGTCGTCGTCGGTGGCGTATCCGACAGCCAGGGAGGAGCGATAGTTCTTGGACTTGATGTACGACTTCATGTCTCGCACGGCAGCCTTCACGTACGCAATAGAATTGGTGTTGTTGTTGTCATTGGCGACCTCGTTACCCGCGAAAAAGCCAATGACATTGCTGTAGTTGGCAAAGGCGTCAATGACGCTGGTATAGCGCTTGTACAGGTCAGTATTCCAGGAAGGGTCCGCACGGTTGATGGACTCGGATGGTGCGGACAGATCGGTAATCAGGTAGATGCCGGCATCGTCCAGCAGCTTCATACATTCGTCATGGTTCTTGGTAGGATCGACAGCATAGGTACGGATGACGTTGGTACGCAGCTGCTTCAGGTAGGGAATGTCACGCTTGCAGCTGTCAACATTGGCCAGAGGATCGGTGTAGTCGGAGTTCTCGGAAGTTGTGCCGTTGGCCTGGTACTCCTCTGCACTGGATTAGTTTCGGGGTCGATCAATGGGATCTCTCTGGGACATACGTTGGTAGGCAACACCGCGAATGAAGCTAAAGCCGGTCAGTCACTGAACGATGACGCTGAGCGACAGGCAAACTTACAATTCTGTTCCGTTGTTGGAGTAGAAGAACTTGTTGCCCTATATCAAGTACATAGGAGTCAGCGTCCAATGCGATCGTCCAGCAACAGGCTTTCAATACCTTAGCCTCAATGGCGGGCAGTGTTGCCAGCGCGCTGCCCACGAGGGAAGCACCGGCGGCGGCGTAAACGAACTTCATGTTGTATGTGATTTAAACGAAGGGCGTACTCAATTTCAGATGAAAGATGATGTTGATGATCTGCGAAGAGTGGGTTGATCGTCTCGGTCCGTAAACCCAGTTGATATCAAACCCACAGGGTTCTTAGGAAGAAAATGACAGAATATAGACAACGAGTGACTGACGGCGGGTACACGATGAGCCGTTGAATGGTTGGAGTCCCAAGAGGGAAAATAGAATACAAGGAGGGAAAGAAAGGATGTCGAGAAGACGAAGAAGGAGAGGAAGAAGAAAGTACGGGGATGACAGAGAAGAAGATGGGAAAGGAGAAGCCGGAGCAGGCACCAAGGCAAGCACTTGGGAGGACTAAACTACTAGAGTATGTACGGAGTAGTAAGCAGCCCCTGTAATAATATTACCTAGTCACTAGCCGATTATAAATAGTACACTTGACTGTCAATCATCCAATTGATTCTTTGGAACATTGAGACATCTGGTGAGCATGGTGGATTGATGATTGGGCGTTTACTGACTGGGCGTCCATCTTCTTACTACAGTTGATGGAGACCATTGTCACAATTGTCTCACTTGAGAGTATCCAAGGTGGGAAATCTGGTGTATCGCCAAGCATCCTGTGTATGTAAATAATGATCATTGCTTGAGAACAATCAAAGCAATCACTGGGAGGAAGCAAATGATACGTCCAGAGACAAAGGATGGACATTCTCGGTGATATAACTGCGGGGCCTTCGAAACTTAGCGCCAGGGTCCAGGGTGCTGATTCGTCGTTGACACGGGGCCTGTATTGTAAGAATGGAATTACGCTGTACCCTGTGTGCTTACCTTTGCCCAGTTGTCTTGTGGAAGTAGCTTGGCTGAGGAATAGGGGCATCAGTGTTGCTTCGCTCTCTCAAGTTCCGGCTTGTCAGTCTTGTCCGGCTTGTCCGGCTTGTCCTGAATCATGAGCTCCTAAAAATCGGCAACTTCGATTATGTGAGCATCCGTGGCTCAGGTCGAAGACCTACAAGTTGGTTTACTACCACCGCAATGGAAGTAGGACTGGGCAAAATAGTTCGCAAGGCATATTATTATTATGCGAGTCCTTTTTGAGCAGTATTTCTATCCTCAACAACCAAGGTACCTAATGATACACACCCCTGGGCAATACATCGTCTTACCAGGGACGGGCGACCAGGGTTTCAGGGTCTGGAACCGCCCTCGAACCCACAGAACAGGTAATAAAAAAATTTTCAGGCAACTGTATTATTAGTCATCCGCACATAGGTAATCTTACGGAGTAGTTTATGCAAACATGCAGCCATGGCCTTGGGAGTCGTATGCACAGACAACAAGCTTGACTCCCATGTGCAATGATGTCTCTGCTTTTCTTTTCAGTCACATACTTTGCATGATGTGCTGCGTTGCTAGATCCAGATTATCCCAATGACGTACCGCGGCGAAATATACCCTCAAGTGGATTCACCGCAGTGATTTAGGCCATATATAGCGGTGAGCATTAAGGATATATTTGTCGTAGACTACAAGATGCCTCTGTTAAACATGGCAGCAACTGCAAGAAAACAGCTCACAATCTCACCACATCATGGCGCAAGGGTCGGACACGAGTACTGACGACTTGAATTCAGCAGTGTCTTGATCAGCAGACATTGACAGATGCAAGTGCTACTGACGTGTCTTGTTGCACGACGACTTGGGTATTATTGATTGCACACTATAGTAGGGACAAATCCACGAGGCAGACAGGAAACTTCACGCATGATGGTGCTCCCGGGTTCTTGACATCCGTTGAAGTCAAGAGCTGAGCCTTTTAGAGGCAAAGATTGAATACTAAAACGTGGCTGATGTGGTTCATTGTGGCTGGTGATGTGGCTTGGTTCCCGGACATGCTTCAGAGTACTCCGTATGGACTCAATCTATCCCAGACCCACTGATGGTACTGTAATCAACCAGATTCGATGAAACTCAGACTTCTGACTTCAAAATAAATCAAGCCACTGTCTTCATAAGGAGTACGGTGTGATCAGATTAATCAGTAATCTGATAAACCAATGTATACAGTATGTGCCCATTTTTGAGAGACGTAGCAAAATGGCTCTCCAAAGCACACAGGGGATTGACTTTCTGAGCATTGAGAGCCAACCTTAATCGGTTAGAATATGATTAGGATCTACTAAGGAGCCACTATTACGACCTGCTACTAGTTGCGAATAAGTAACATTCCTGATCTGGCGCCTCATAAATCAGAACCAGAGCGCCAATAAATAGGAGTGCACATCTTTGATGACTAGCTAATACTATCGTAGACAACCTCTACAAACATCTAGTGACCGCTGAACTTGTTGAAACGTAGAAGATCACCTCTGATAAGGGGTACTGGATTGACCCGATCTCGTTGCAGACTTGCAGCAGCCACATACTCAATAATGATGGATCATGGTTCTCCGCGCGTCCAGGAAACGCTATCCAGAGGATCTAAACGCACGCTTGTTGTGGCTGTGTAACACATTCGCCAATAATAATGTCCTCTCCGTAACAACGACGATATAAATCTGTCGAGTGGATGAAAATCGCCAAGCAAAGGACAGTTCTGCCAAGTATTCTTCGCGCCTTTGAGACAATCATCATGTCATCCCTTTTTTCGCTTTTGCTTTGCTTGTGTACACCATCACTCCTTTCAGATTGAAACTCTTTGGGTACTGTGTTGCTCGCTGGTTGAACGAGAGCCTGCAAGAACCCTGTCACTCCTTTTTCTCAATCGTTCAATTGGCCGTATTCGTTCCTTTCCAATCTGCTACCGCGACCCATTTATTTGACAGCTATTCTTGTCCAAAGCTTGTCCCTTCCAAGCCATCTTGTCGTAAGTCTTGTTGGCCATTGGGGCTGAGCGCTGAGGTACGCGCCACATTTCGTCAACTGCGATCTCTACCTAGCCACGAGTGGTCCACGTCAATATACTGTATGTCATTCGCAAGATCCTTGACTTGTTTTTAAGTTGATGAAAAGAACAACCCTGTCAGGATTGGCTTTGTTCGGCACCGCTGTTCCCGCTGCCGTTTCGCATCTTGCATCCCGCACTTCTTGAACATCATCCTAATACCTTGACTGCTGCAGTATCATTATCAATCTTTCCAGAATTACCTGACTTCTAGAACAAGAACATCATGCGTAAGTCTGACCCTGATGTGCTGTGCCAAGTGCGCTCCCCACTAATGTGTCTCGGCGCCCAGACATCTACCGCCGTCAAGCCAGGAATCTGGCCTGGTACGACCAGGAAGGCGAGCCATCGAACCACAATCCCTTCAAAAAGTTCAGAGCACGGCCGCGACGGTCCAATTCCTATCAGATGGAGAGCGGACTCGCTCCCGTCCGCACGGCGGGGGAGGTGCGCATGTCGGAGGAAAGACGGCGACGGAGGGACATGACCGAAGGCCTGGCCGGTCCAGAGCACGCAGATACCTTCCCGCCAGAGTCGTCAGGAACCGACGGTCTTCACCGAGCAGAAAGTGCAGAGAAATCGGAGCCCGAACCATCGATGCGCAGCCACGAACCCATCAACGTCTCCAACCAAGAAGGGCAGGACGAGACCCCTGAAGGAAAACCTCGGAAGAGAAAGACCTTTATGAGCGGCTATGGGAGTCGGTCTGAGGATGGGGATGCCCTATCTTCAATGGAGGAGGGGAAGGACGTGCCTGACAAGCAAAAGTTTACCGCCGTTGGCCAGCTCAAAGCGACCCTTTTTAACTCTTGGATAAACCTCCTCTTGATTGCGGCGCCAGTTGGAAGTGAGTTGCAGATATGACGAGTCTGAGTTCTCACTGACAATTTCAGTTGCGCTGAATTACGTCGACGTCGATCCGGTGGCCGTCTTTGTAGTGAACTTTATTGCTATTATGTATGTATCTCTATCCCAGGTCTGGACTCGGCTGACATATCCAGACCTCTTGCGGCCCTGTTGAGTTATGCCACGGAAGAAATCGCCATACGGTATGTCTATTTCCGGGTGTAGAGGACCAAGCTGACGTGTCCAGGACTGGTGAAACGATTGGGGGTCTGCTGAATGCATCATTCGGGTAGGTGTTCAATCACTGGAGAACCAGACACGAGACAGACTGACAATAATAGTAATGCGGTCGAGTTGATCGTCGCCATTATCGCCTTGGTCGATAAGGAGGTTCTTATTGTTCAAACATCACTTATAGGCAGTATGCTGTCGAATCTGCTGCTGGTCATGGGCATGTGTTTCTTTTTCGGCGGTGTCAACCGCCTCGAGCAACACTTCAACCCGGTTGTCGCGCAGACAGCAGCCAGTCTTTTGGCACTGGCGGTGGCCAGTCTGATTATTCCTACCGCGTTCCACGCGTGGTCTGGCGGTGCGTCAATTGGGCCAAATATCAAGGACGTTCACTGACTCTTGCAGCCGGAACCGTGGGAATCGCCCCGTTGTCGCGAGGTAAGATTGCTGGCCATGCGCAGACGACTGTCGCTGACAAACGCAGGCACCAGTATCATCTTGCTCTTCGTCTACGGATGCTACCTCTTCTTCCAGCTCAAGTCGCACACTGAGATCTACAACCGGCCCAGCCCCAAGGTCGAGAAGCGACGCCAAAAGGTGTCGGAAGGTGACGCCAGTCGCGGCCTGGCCCAGATTGGCAAGATGACGGCCACCATGGGCGGTCAGAACGCGCAGCAGATGAAAATCCACGAGGAGGACGACGAGGAACAGCCGCAGCTCAGCATCTGGGTTGCCGTCCTGACGCTGGCCATCTCCACCACCTTTGTCGCATTGTGCGCCGAATTTATGGTAAGTCTGGTGCATCATTCAGTGTCAGGGCTCGACTGACTGTCCAGGTTGGTTCCATTGACGCCCTTACGGAACGCGGCGGCATCTCGAAGACATTCGTCGGACTGATCCTGCTTCCTATCGTGGGTAATGCGGCCGAGCACGCCACCGCGGTGACGGTGGCGTGCAAGGACAAGATGGATCTGGCTATCGGCGTGGCCGTGGGGTCAAGCATGCAGATTGCTCTGCTGGTTCTACCGTTGATTATTGTGATTGGATGGATTATGGGTATGTTCTATTCCTCGATTACTTTCCTGACCTGACTGACTGGCAAAGGACTCGAGAATATGACCTTGTATTTCGATGCGTTCCAAGTAATCCTGCTCTTCGTCTCTGTCTTACTGGTACGTCTATCGCCAGACCTTTTTTATGGTGACGCTAATTCCTTAGGTGAACTATCTCATTGCCGATGGCAAATCGCACTGGCTCGAGGGTGTGCTGCTGATGATGATGTATTTGATTATCGCCGTGGCTGCATGGTATGTATCCTCATTATTTGCATTGAAAGTACTCGGCTAATTTTGTCTGCAGGTTCTATCCCAACAAGACCGAGCAAGCTGCTTAATATCATACGTTATACGGACTCACTCATTCACATACGTTGGGAAGATACCCTTTCATGTTCTTGGAGCTATTATCCAATCTTTAGTTAATGTTCAATCAAGTCGCTTAATTGAGTACTCAGCATGGATATATAGGCATCAACAGTTGTCACTACCCGGCTACAAACCCGAACCACAAATATAAACAAATAACATCGATACAGAGGCTACAAGAACTCGAACATGATAATTAGAACCAAACCCATACCGGCACAGCAGTAGACCAGCCTCATAAGCTAGGCTAGGCTAGTGCGACACAGCCACCAGGCACCAGGTACCCGTTACGCACCTCTTCGGGGAGACTGCTTGGCTTGGCTGCCATCTATTCAATTAGTTATGCTATCAATACTACATATCAATATGACTTCAGGTGAAGTCAAATAGTCTAGTGTACTATGCAGATACTCATGCGCCGAACCCCAGACACTTGTACTTTCATAAAAGTAGCAGTATGAGGGACAATACAACGGGTCTACTGTATACCTATCTGCCAGTCCAAACCCCCCTATTGGTCCAGCTGAACCCGTCCACGAGCCGTGGCGCAGAGCAACGAATCAGATGCTGGCGGTTATTGCATCGTGGCTACTTGCACCCCAATCTCGGGGAAATCGGAGGAGACAGGACAGGTGGACTCAGTGGCTGTCGTTATGGTTGATGCTGGACAAGTACCTATGAGTATGGAGGGAAGGACTACTTGCGTGGGTAGTAGGTAGGTAATAGGACTAGGATTAGATGGAGGTCAGCTCTCGCTGGGGTTGACTATGTAACCATACCAGGGATTAACTAATCTGTGAAGTAAAGTAGGTAAGAGTTGCGATTTGCGCCTTGAGTAAGGGACTTCAACTGCGGTAAGCTACGTGACCCTGTATCCAGAGGTGACTTCACTGGCCAACATCCGAGCAGGTGACACCTATGGATGGGTTGTCGGGTGCCTCAGCCTCAGCCTCAGCTTGCAGTTGCGCTCTATTTTGCCGAATTGAGAAGCCCCGTTGCTAAATCTCACAGATTAGAATTTTTCCTCCATTCATAGGTGCAATAGCCGCTAGATATTAAATACTAAGTAAGTAGAATAGAATAGCCGGGTGTGGGATTGATCGGGCATTCTCCGATGATTCGCCGGGCATTTCCTATCGTACCTGGTTGCTAGATGGTACCTAGGGTAGATAATCATTTGTAAGCTATTCCATGTCCTTGGTTGGAACTGTAGCATGTGCTTCCATTAAGGTATATCACAAGCGCTCGTAGAGAGGCAAGGTCCTTGCACGAAATCATAGGATGAATGTGAGATTGCGGGGTTCATCGGTTCGCTTGTGCCTCGGGTGAGAAGGACATGGGGGAGCAGAGAACCAATCATGGACATCGGCTAAGCCCGAAGAGCGGCCACGGGATGAGTCCACAGTAAACATGGCCGGTTAAAATCTGTGACTTGGGACTTGCTGGAAGTGTAGGGTGTAGGCTCCTGCAGTTGCCGCCCGGGTGTGGAGGAGGCACCCGACTGTCGGTCGGAGGGTAGGTAGGTATCCTGCGCATGTCCCTAGCAGTCAGCGGTCAGTTAAAGAGAAGTATTCAAGACAGTGTGTCAACGAATGGATGCACAGTGCCGAGATTGAGGTAGTATTCATCTGTAACCTTTAATCTCGTGACTGGTCATCTTCTACAGAGTATGATTGACTGATATGTAGACAGTGGACTGGGACACTCCCCGCGGGGAAGGCCCAATGCAGGGGCCCAACTCAGGGCCCAGATTTCTGTTAGTCATGAAAAAAGAACCCATCACACGGTCGACGAGTCGGACAACTTCCCACGTCCCAGGGAAGTCTCCAACTCTCCAACCCATCCCGACGCGACGAAAATGAAGCCATCCTGAGGTAACGGGCAGAGAATGTCTACCCGAGGTTCTACGGAATGGGTGGTAATGTGATTGTGCCGTTTCCCCTCATTTTTTTTGTTTTTCTCTCTTTCGTGGTTCGCCTTCCTTGTGATGTCGTCTACAGAAAAGAAATTCAGGTCGGACAGTGTTACCATTACCGTCAACTGGATCCTCGGAAGTAACCCCGTGTTGAATTCTCCGTAGGTAGCCTCCATGCCATCCACACCCCCAATGACACTGCAGACAGTAGGCTAGTCGCAGCCCATGTCAGACACAAGGACCGATCAGCACGGGATTGGGCATACTTGTATTCCATATTACTTGTTAGACCACCAGAAAAGAAGAAATGATAGATATTATAGGATAAATCGTCCGCTAGCTTGATTACTGAATCGATCTATCATAGCCAGCAGCCACATGGACACTGGAGACAGAATTAGCCATTTTACCGTGTAACCGTACGGAAGATGACCGGATGGTGGATGGATTGTTAGGTAATATTACTCCATGCTGTTCCACCATCCTGCTGGTAGCCGGCTTCTTCGGTCCGTCCTGGGTGTGCCGATATGTTCATTTGACATGGGGGAGAAGGGTAAATAAAAGAAATGTAAGCTGTACGTGTTGGAGTAGACAGCATCGATGTTACTTTTAAATAGGTTGAAATCTGTAGGAGGATATTATTGAAGTATATTTTGTTTTTGGATCTCAAGGCTGCTGTCGGTCGGAGAGGCGAACTAATGCCCCCCGCGAAAAGAGGCGACTGGGCCTGTTCGCCGTCCCGATGGCTGGACAGCCTGGACTAGCCCGTACTGGCCGTACGCCTGGAATCTGTATTCTTCGCTGCAGTTTATCAATAACTTCAAAGGTGAATATATAACGAGTAGACTATTAATCTAGAAGCTACTATCTAGTTAAATTATAACTATTCAAACCGTATGTGTTGTGTACTGGAGGCTATTGCAGGATCTCGGCACTCGGGAAAGTAGCAAGCTGGGGGCGCTGCAGTCTCCGGATTAACACCGCCCGCTTAAACCGCCAGACTAAGACCAGCGTCGGGCCTCCGCAATTTGCTGAAATGCGGATGTTGTAACTTGTCGCTGTTGATTTGATGCTGTGGGAACTGGGAACTATCCGGGGATTCGTCGCTTTTTTCCTTTTTTTCCCCTTCTGTGGGTGTCGGAGGTCAACGAAACGACACACATTCATCATCTGAACCCATTTCCTTCCTCTGGTCTCTTCCTTTCCTCTTTTTCTCTCTTCCTCTCCTCTTCCCCCGTAACCCTTCCTACGGACTATTATTACCTATCCTCTTACTTCCTAATACTCCGTTCTCGCGTATATCCTGACGAATCCTCCAATCCCGTCTCTACCCGATTTCTTTCCTTTGTTTCCTTTTCACGTCGCGTTGCCGGTCCGGTGCCCCGATTTTCTGTCTGGCATTCCTGCTCCCCCACACTCCGCTTATTCCGCCCGTCGCCCATGTTGAATGGTCCCTACTCGCCTTCCTTGCTTCCAGCTTCGCTTCCTTGCCTGTCGCACTCTACACGGCACCTCTCCCACCTTGACTCGTCGACCATAATTCAGCTGATCTCTATCCTGGTCGCACATCACTTCACTACGCCTGGTTGATCTATTAACCGCTTTCGTCCTATTATCCCGTTCTATCGGCTGTCAGAGCGTTCTATCTCCAGTGCTGTGCACCGGAATTTACGTCCAAGGTTAGTCACAGTTGCCAGTTGGCCATTTCGAAATATCGAATCATGGCTAAATCCATGCGATTCTAGTCGGTTATCGGATTGTTTCATCATCCTTCGAGCCGCCGCTCTGGGGCCAATTCGAAATCCGCTGAGAGACCGGGGACTTGAACGCAAAGACACCGGCTGACAGCAGACGGTGTCTGCCACGCCTTTCCTAACCTAAATCGCCTCTTCTACCACATCACCAACATGCGATCGAGTATAGCTTGCGCTCGGTGCCGGCGGAGCAAGATCAAATGCGTCAATGCCGGTATCGACACCACCTGTCGTGCATGCGAGTCGTCCGGTCGAGACTGTGTATATCCCACCCCGGCCATCGGCGTGGGCGGTGGTGCCGCCAAACGAGACATTGCCGCCATGGCCGATGGGGAGGATCGCAACGGCGATTGGGATAGCCCCAAGCGACAGCGCTCCCGCAAGGCCGTCGGCGTGTCCTCGTCTGCGGCCAAAGATGCAGCCAAAGCCTCGCTGGAGGTGCTCGACTCGTCCGTGCTGACCGTCAAGGTCTGGGAGGCCGTCTTTGATCTTTTCCAGTCGCATTACGCCTTCATCCTGCCCTTTCTACATCCCGCCTCCTTCCTCGGTCAGATTCGACAGCTCTCCGGGGCCACATCGTCCAACAATGTCACCAACTCCGAAAACAACCGAGACGCCCCACAAAGTCCGCCCGCCCCCAGAACGGAACCCAATCCTCTCATTCCTCTCGGAGTCCTCGCGCTTACTGCTCGCTTCCACCCTCATCTGGTCGCCTACCACTCGCCCTCCTCCCCGGGCAACCCTTCGAACCCTCTCGTCGCATCCGAATTCTATGCGGCAGCGCTGCGTAGCCGGCTGGCCGGCGTCGATGGCGCCAGTCTGGCGATCCCCGATCTCACACGCGTGCAGGCGCTGCTGATGCTCGCACTTCACGAATGGGGCATGTGCCGCGGCAAGAGTGCCTGGCTATATGTCGGCATGGCGATTCGGCTGTCGCAGGCCATGGGACTGCCGTTTGAGCTGGAGAATGAGCTCTTCTCTCGCGAGGGCCCCCGATCGCCCGCTCTCAAAGCCGAGGCGGAGCTCTTTGGCGTGCGGCGCGGTCCGGAACCCAAGGAGCAGACGTCCGACGATGTGATCGCCCTGGAGACTAAGCGACGAACCTTTTGGGCCTGCTTCATCCTCGACCGCTGTCTCAGCAGCGGTAAATATCGTCCCCGCATGATTCGGGTCAAGGAACTCGGCATTCAGCTGCCTAGCGACAACGCGTTTGCGTTTGGAGAGCGCGTCCGAACGTCCCGTCTGAACGAGCCGTCCGCCCGTCGCCCGCAGAGCTTCGGCTCGCAGGGTATGCAAATTCCCAGCATTCGCCAGAGTATCGGAGGCTTCAGCGATGACAAACTGCCCAACAATGTCCCTCCGGACAACAAGCCGTGGTCTCCGATCTCTCGACGAAAAGACTCGAGCGAGGATGAGATCGACCGATGGGAGATTGGGGCGGAGGAGTCGGTGCTGAGCCGGGTCATTCGCATCGTTCGGATCTGGGGGAGTATCGCCAAGTGGTCTTGTGCGGGTGGACGAAGGTATGCATCAATCCGCCATCCTCCGTAGTATCACGCAAAACTAACATTTGGCAGAACGGAACAACTTCCTCCCTGGCATATCGACTCTAGGTTTTCGAAACTGCGGACGATGCTGGGCGAGTTCCAGGACGGACTCTCGCGCAATCTGCAATACTCACCTCGAAATACCGACACCCATATCATGTACAAGAACAAGCTGGCGTCGTACACCGTCATGCATGTGGTGTATTTTCTCTCCGTCATTGTCTTGCATCGCGCCTACATTCCATTCCTTCCTGTCCGGTGCAACGAGCCCATCGGTCCCCTGGACGAGCCACTGTTCCCCGGCGAGAGGTCAGGGGCGCCGGATGGGTTCTGGAGGGACAGTGCGCGTGAACTGTTCCGGGCCGCCCGACAGATGTTGGACCTCGTGGTAACCTGCCAGGAGCGCGGTGTTCTTGTTGAAAATCCACTGGTCGGGTTTGCCATCTACAATGCGGCCTTTCTCGGCGTGTATGCCTCCCACTTTTCGCACATGGACCTGGAGGGATCGTTGAGTCTCAAGCCCGGTGCCACGGATGGAACCCACGGCCAGGTGCAAACTGGCAAGGCTCTCGACATCTTGCGAGATATGCGGTCTCGCTTGAAGATGGCCAATGGATGGTTCCGCACGCTGAACCGACTGCACAGCTACTTTTCCAAAGTGAAGCGCGACTTCCGACGCCACTCTCGACTGGACGCTCTGGACCCACATACCAACGGAATCCGTCCAGTACGGGAGGGCGGTGCCGGAGGTGGCCTCGAGGAGTTCAAGTTACTTGAAAAGCTGTTCCTCGACTTTGGCAGCATCGAGGATCGGCTGCCGGAGACCAATGCCGACGATGACGGGGCCGACCGGGCGACCAACGTCAGTGATGCGGGAAGCAACGCAGTCCGCAGTGACCCCGGCGAGACGGCCGAGTCTGGTCTCGAGGGTGCCGGTGGCCGACGCGAGTCGTGGGTTCCCATCAACAGCCCTGGCCTCCCTCTGCCTGGACCGGATGCCGAGCGGCGGCCCAGCCTGCCGTTGCCTCCGCGGGCCTTGCAGTCGCAGTCGCCGTATTCGCTCCCGTCGCTACAGCACCATCCCGACGGTCCTCTCTACGGCACCTCCTCGCCGAACCTCCCGTCTCTTGCTCCTTCTACAGGGGCTCCCCCGTCACAGTATGGCCAAGTGCCGTCCTCTAATCGTCTCCAGCCATTGAACACGTGGCTCTCTCGCCAACAAGGGCCGTACTCGCAGTCGCTGCCCCCGATCAACCAGGCGACCTCGCATGGCCTGCCACTGCTGCCCCCGCCGGGAACCGTCAATCATCCTGCGGCCTCGCCCCCGGTGACGGTTGACGGATTTGAAGGCGGTGTCTCCAACGTCATGTGGTCGACCAGCCTCGGCGGGGATGATGTTGTCGCATTCCTGGAGGGATGCGACTATGACCAGCTATCCAGCATGATGCCATCCGAGGTTGGCATTCCTTCTGGTTGGTTGAGTACCGTCTGGAGTGAATTCTCGCGGTAGTGCCTTCGCCTCATTTTTTTCTTTCTCTCTCTCTTATGCTCCTTTGTTGTACTATATTGTACGTCTCATGTACTGTATGATTATGTGTCTTTCTTTGCGATGGTGCGACCACCCTGGTGGTCTAGCGTACGAACTGCGGGTATGCTTGGGTTTCGGGTAAAAGCCATGGTATGGTATGGCAATTGTGGTTTTTCGGAACTGGCGCAAGCGAAAGTTACTTGTGAGTTTCTGTCGGGATCTCTGTGAGCGCGGCGTTGGTCTAGTATTGGTAGCAGTTTAATCTTCAACATATTCATGACCCACCCTTTTGACAGAGTAGTTGATCATACTTGTATGCACTCACAGCCGGCTGTACGGAATACTCGTCGTAGTGTGTCCATATCACCCCGGAACTAATATCAATCATCATCAGTCGCGACAGCTACGCATTCTGGTGCCCGATTACACCGACTAGGAAGGGGACGCTATCTGATATGGCGTTCAGCTGGCAGTCGGACTATTATTTTGCAATGTATGCGGGCTGGGCGGACGAAGAGAGGTGTCAGTCGTGGTTGTGCTTGTTATGGACACAATCAGGCCATATGGGGTTGAGGCGTATATAGGCGACTTGGATTTTTCTCTGAGACCTGACCGGTACTGGACGCACGAGAATGAGAGCTGATTGAAGGAGCTTCGTAGGAGATGGGATCCTGATTGTCAGTTTTGTGGGCTTCCTTGAGATCGACATGCAGATATTGTCCCAAGAATTGTCTTAGCTGAGCTTCTTTGACCTTCAACATGAGCGGATCAGGCCTCCTGGAACGTAGTACACAAGGATATATAGAGGAGCAATATCAAGGTACCCTCTGGATCAAATCTTGAAACTCTGAGACGGTGCGTTGATATAACAGACAATTACAAGGACAAATCAAGACAGTCGAATTAACCTGCAAAACATAATGGAAGTTGCCGGTATATGCCTCTTGTTGAGAGGTTCGCTATCAATTGCAGTGAATGGCCTCATCCAGTTCTGTTCAGTATAAATGTCACACTCACCATCATCTGACTTTCTTATCTCCTTCATATAACTACATACAGTGCACATCAAGCAGTACGCTCAAGCTCACCCTTGCACACGAGAAAATGGACGTGGATTACATGGAGCTCCGCAAAGCAGCAATTGCAGAGGCTAAGAAGAGTAAGTAAGCTTCTTTCTGTTCGTTCTATTCTACTCTACAGCAGCGCATACCGACCACTCACTACGATCAGCCACTCTAAACGGCCAACTAACCATGACCGACCTCAGCGTCGTCAAACTCATGGACGTGGTCCGCAAGGTCGACTGGAATTCCAACTGGGAAGGCCAAGGCCAAGGACAAGAACCAGTCATCAGACCTCTCGAAACAACCGCACACTCCTCCGCGCTGCTCCTCCAAGAGCGAGGCATCAAGCCACGATCCGCATGCGATCTGTGCATAAAGACCAAGAACAAACCGTTCCAATCGTGCGTTTGCGCCCCGGCATTCCGCCGCCATGCGCTTCGCCTCGGGGCCTGCGCGAACTGTATCTGGCATGGGCGCGAGGCGCATTGCTCGTTGCGAAAGGATTTTGTGGCTTCCGGGGGGAAGAAGTGGATGTTTACGTTGGATCTGTAGGTCCCACCTACGTTCATACTGTTTTGTCTTGCAAGCTGCTAAGACTTAACTTATAGGATTGTTCTCCATGCGGGTGGGTTGCTATTTGGTGAGGGTATCGGACGTCGTCTCAGGGGGTTACCTGTGCCTGTGCCTGTGCCTGGTACTCTTCAAGCCATGTCTCGCACGCCTACGCCCACGACCACTGCCATCTCTGCCCACAAGGGCAAGGCTACTTCATCCAAAGCTGCACCTGCACCTGCACCTGCACCTACCACGGGACAACAGCGACAGCGACAACTTGCCCTCACCGAATCGAAGGTGGAAATGGAATCGTCTCGCCGTCTGGCTGGCACTCCCGTTTCCACTAGCGTTCTGGGAAAGCGATCCGCATCTACATCTTCTTCAACTGGGCCTGAGCTTGAGCTCGAGCCCCGAACAAAAAGAACCTGTCATTCTAAATCTAAAAAATGCGACGGTAGCCTCGTGCCCTGGCCATGCACCTCCACGTCTTGGAATGACCCCGACGCTCTAAAGACCATTTATTCTGATCTTCGGCGCCATATGTGTGCTGTCAAAAGACGGATTGAGGAGTTGGATGAGCTGGCTGGCTCTCTAGAGAACGAGATGAGTCGAGCTGAGTCGAGTTGAGTTGTTGGAGATTAGGGCTACGCTCTGGGTACGGTTCTCATGTTCATAGAGTTCGGGGATAGGGCTTTAGTGATTTATTGTTTGTTTGGAAGTGCCAGGTCCAGACAGCCATTTGCTAACTGAGACTGATTTGGGACATCAAGCTTAGGAGTTTAAGTTTATTGCGAGTTGGTTGCGACAGAGGCATTTAATGCTCAGATTGGGAGTTATCGTGATTACGGGCTATCATGTTGAAGTAGTCTAAGGCTGAAGTGTCCGATCGTTGAATTAGGGTTAACTGTCACGCTTGGCTCATCTTGCAAAATCAGATACTCCAAGTAAGCCACAGAATCTATAAGAACATCCTACAATAATCGTTCTTGTTAATGCTTGATGAGATATTTAATGTCATTGGCAGTTCGATGAATCAATGACATCAACCTCGTATTTCCTCTTGGCTTGAGTCATCCTTTCCAGCACATAGTTATATATCCCATCGCGTATCTCACCCAAAGCATCGAACTACCAATCTCGACATCTATATATTGTATATGTATATAAGAAAATGCCCAAAGTAGCCATCGCAGGAGGCTCCAGCCCAACCCTGGGCGCATCCATTCTCGCCGCCCTCTCAAGCACCAACAACTGGACCCCGGTCATCCTCTCCCGACAAACCAACAACCCCAAACCTTCACCCAAAGACATCGAGACCCGCTACGTGGACTATACATCCCATGCATCTCTCGTCGCTGCACTCAAAGACATCGACACGGTCCTCAGCGTCGTGCTCATTCCCGGTCCGGAATCAATCACCTACCAGCTGAACCTTCTCAACGCCGCGATAGAAGCAGGCTGTCGGCGGTTCGCGCCGTCGGAGTTTGCACTGCGCGAGCAGGCCCAGGCGCAGGTTGATTTGTTACAGCCGAAGAATGTCGTCTGGGAGGCGGTCAAGCGCAAGGTTGAAGAAAAACAAATCGACGCAGCGCGGTTCCCGTGCGGCATGTTCATGAATTACCTGGGGATTGGGATTGGGGGCGAGAAAGAAAAAGATGCGAGGGCCGGATTCGCAGAGGGGGCGTTCCTCGTGCACTTGGATGCTGAGCCGGCGTATGTGGTTGTTCCTGTGAGGAAAGATGGATCGTCGCCGAGGCTCACGTTGACGGACATCCGGGACGTGGGGAGATTTGTGGCTGCTGCGCTGGAGATGGAGGAATGGGGAGGGAGGGAGTTGGGGATGGCGGGTGATACCGTCAACTTCGACGAGTTGATTAGGCTTTGTGAGAAGTATACTGGCAAGAAGGTCGAGGTGCGCCGGGTGACGGTCCAGCAGCTGGAGGATAGACTAAAGGAGATCCCTGGCGAAGATGTGCTCAGGCGGATGGACTGTCAGATAGCCATGGCTTGCGCGAGAGACGGCTCGGTTGTGCCGGGGGTGTTGAATGAGGTGTGCAATGTCCAGCCGGTCAAGGTGGAGGAATTCCTGCGCAAGTACTGGGGATAATAGCAGAGGATAGCAATCAGCCAAAGGCTCTTTTTTCACCTTTTCTGGCATTCAGTAAGCCAGTGTTCGTCGCTTGGATGCAGTTGATCGCCATATGTATGTACTCAAAGCATCTGTGGCAATGAGGGTCTATGCAACGGCAAGAATTGAAGGACTCTCATATCACAGCAAACATGTCGTACTGTCGTACCTCTCCTTTTATGCCAAATTAGAAGTAAAAGTTAGTGACGGCTGTGCTTCCCACCAGTTTACCCGCCATGAATTGCAGCAGAAACTCCATTGACTTCTCAGCAGCCTCCGGATCCTGGAAAGAGAGGAGATGGCTTTTGTAAATAATAAGGCCTTTGTCGCCAAAGTATGCCTGGAGCAGCTGGGCTTGTTTATCTCCCATGAACGACAGAACTTGGACCTAGGCTGTATGAGCGATATTGCGACATGGCTAGTTTGAAGAGGGAGATCACCTACCGGAATGACGGTATGGTCCTGATATTCATTGCTGGTGAGCCTTGTAAGGATCGTTGCTAGGATAGCAAGCACCTCTCCACGCAGGAGTTTGTTGTCATCGCTAGGATACTCATGTATCAAAGTGAACATCACATGGGGCTTGGAAAGCGCAAAGCGAGCCCGCCAGGCATCATTAGGATGCCATTTAAGCGAGTGGAAAAGTTCGTCTTCGAAAATTTCATGCAAAATACATTTCGAGAAATCACTGTAAGTAATGTGAACCATTAGCCTTCATTATCTCGAAGCGTGATCACCAATCCTACCTTGGTATCCAACCAGTACGCATCCAAAGCAGGCATGTCTCGTTGTCATTGAATTTTCGAGAAAAACGAAAGCGCCTGCAAACTATGCGGCACAATTTCCGAGCGTCATCCAGGCGTCTGTCATCGAGACTTCTGTGCTCCTTCCAGAGCGTCTGCTCAAGTTGCAAGTCTTCCATCGTGTCTTTGTCGTCCTCGTTGATGGGATAAGACTGAAGCTCGTTGACGGACATGGGAGAAAAGTATCTTTCGAAATTTGCCTGCTCACGACCATCATCACCGCGGTAGAGGTACAGATGATTACAGGAAATCTTGAAGTTCTCATACGACTCCGGATCAATATACTCATCAGGTGTATCCAGAAGTTTGTTATAGATATCATCCAGATCATCCACGAACTTGTCGCGCTTCGCCAGTATGGCGGCCTTTGGTTGGCCACGAAGGGATTTCGACAGAGTGGGCATGGTGATGGATGAAGTTGTGGAAGAGAAGAGATAGGTGGGACCAAGAAGAGGATGACGATTTTTCTTTTGGGTGTTGTAGAGTGGTAGACAAACAATAATAATGACGGTCATGTGTTCATACTCCCCAGGGAAAAAGAAAAAGAATTTTCAGTCCTGAATCACGTCCCATGGTCCAGGGATAATCATTTAATGTCTGTCATCTACAAGAAAGCATGACTTAGAATTCAGCCTTAAATACCTAATTTGATTGTATGACGGTGTGTTGTCGAGACCTATTGTTAGGAGTAGTAAGCAGATATTCTATCTCTTTAGAGTGGTCTAAAGCTACCTATTTTTACATCAATATTAACCGGTATATTAGTATGATAGATGCTGTCTAGAACCTATTATGAGATTTAACAAATAAATCATAACTTAAGAAAGTCAGACTGCTACTTTGGAGGCATATCACATGTATAGAATACCAACCAACACTAGTGAGAAGTAGTAAATCGATCAAAGAATAGTTGCCAATAGCAAGAAGAAAAAGAAGTGAAAAAAGGAAGTGAAGGAAAATCGATCAGAGTAGATAATCCATCTCTGAACCGCCCAAGTCCTGCACGTTTGCATTAGATCAAAGGATGGTCATCGAGGTAAGAATATTGGCTGCAGCAGGGAACAGAATGAGGTTTCAAGATGCAAATAGCTCGTATAGAGATCACACCGCTAGAGTAGCAGTCATAACAAGAGCATTGCTTATGCTGAGCAGGGCAGCAGAATCTGCGTCTTTTTCGAGGGACGGATGGATGCAGAAGGCTTTCTGCACCCTTTTTCTTCGACAGACTTTGTCTTGCACCTCGTACTTGGTGACGTGTAGATGGTTGTAGATTGAATGGTAGCAATCCGCGATGACTATCATGGCAGTCACTAGTAGGACGAAGGGGCAGGAGGGGACTGTGGACAGATCTTGAACAGTATTTCTTCATTGAGGAAACACTGCAGGCGGCCGGAATGATGAGATCGTTCAGCATCCTCGAATAAAGCCATAGTGAAATGACTTGAATTTAAGTTCATTCAATGTCCCCTGCGCACGGCAACACGGCCGGCGAGGTCTCTCTTCCAAGGGCAGTCCAATATAGACGCTGTCTCTGTCATGGTCGTTTATAAGTGAGGCTTCTGCCTAGGCTTAAATCTGGTCGTTCTCATGCGCAGGAATGGTCAACTGTCTGGTGAGGGCTAGCCGCACTGATTGACTCAGCGAAGCACAGGCCTGGGACGCTACTCTCGAGGCAGGAGGCCTGCACCACTGCAGGATTCGACATGAGTGCGGAGCAAATTAAGCACCGGGGGGGGAGGTCCTCTACCTATAAATTTCAGTAGTCGAGCATTAGCTGCAATGTCATGGTGGTTGAGAACACAAAGGTATGCTCATAGGATAAACGTGGCGATGACGATAATGGGAGAAGAAGAGAAGGGAGAAAGAGAAAAGAAGAGAAGAAATAGATATGGTCAACAGAATTGCTGATATTGCTCCTGCCTTACTTGAGTTAGATGAGAAGTCAAGCCTAGACATTAGTAAATGATGCCTATCAAGAGTGCCTTCTGAACAAGGAAGAACATAAGTAGAGGGACACAGTGTTTAGTGAATGAGTAGATAAGGAAGCCTTATCCTTACTAACCTAATACCTTTTCCTTCCTTCCAAGTTCCCACTGTTAAGTCTTCCAGGAAATCTTTTATAGCTTAGAGGTTCTTATTATTTCGAACTGAGGATTTTGGGCCAGTCCGAGTCCTCAACTACATGTAAAGAAATTTAGCCTTGAATCATGCTCGGATGATACGATGGTACGCTGAAGACCTAGTGCTAGGATTAACAGGCATAGATTCTATCTAAAACTATTATTGCGTCACTGTAATAGTGTACGAGGAGAGGCTGGACTTCTGTGATAAATACTCTCTAGAACCTGTCATGGAATCCAGCATATAGAGTATAACTAAGGCAATCCGACCAGCCTCTCAGCCAGACCACTTAAACAGATATAACATGCAACTCCAAGTAATAGACAGTAAAATCTGCAAACAATAAACAAAAATAGCAACAAAGAAAAAGAGAAGCAAAACGGATCAGAGAGGGGGGAGTACTCCACCCCCTCTCTGAGCCGCCCAGGCCCTGCCCGTCTAAGAATATTCGTAAAGGCAAGAATATTCGTCAACGGGCAACGGGCAGGGCCCGTCTCGAACCCAGACCAGCAGTGCAGTTGCGCTACTGCAGTTTAGCCCGCTGCACCACCGGTCCGGGTTGGTTGACAGTATGATATAATGGAGAGTCATCTGTTGCGAAGTTGGTAGCCTAAAAGGGAAGTGAATGGGCAGATGCCTGGGGGTTAAGGCATCGTTTGCAAGACACAAACAGGCATTAGCGACTACTTTCGTTGCATCAGGTCGTTGGCCTGCAGAAGGTGCGTAGGACTTGTCAACTCCAACGCTGAACTGAAGATTCGGACCTGGCAACGAGGTAGGTGTGTGAATATTGATATCTTGGTGATGCTTTACGCTAAGTCTTTCTCTATATGCCCTCTGTTCTTTTTTTTGATTCCACGTCAGACAGCTATAGAGCTCGCTTCTCATCTGTGACTACGACGAGAATTCTACCACTGACGTCCCACACCTTAACACACAATGGACACACCAACTCTGTTGAATGAACAGCACTTACTGCTATTAATCATCTAATCATCTGGGTTATAATGATGATACTCGTCTGTCTGCTGCCTATTCATCGCCTATTTGAGTCCTTGAGTGCATGGGAAAGGGAATCTCTTGTCGCGACTATCGTGCCCGAGATCGAAAATAATGAAAGAGGATTAGATGAGTGGGAAAGAAGGCTTCTGGAACTCGGACAACTTGTCATGCAGCCTCATGATAAGGTGCCGAGGAGTGCAGAGATAAGCGAGATGCATGCGTCTCTATGTAAGGAGATGCTGGAGCTCGGACGGACAATCATCAACACATGATAGGGCGCTTTCGATCTCTCCAGAGATAAGGGAGCTGCATATGGCTCATTGTATGATGTCGCCACAACGACGCCGGAGATACATTTGTGAAGAAGAGGCGCAGACTGCTGCTAAGGAGGAGTCGTTGTCAGGAGCTTGAGGAGACAGGATCACTACAAGACAATGCAGAAGGTGTCTGGCTCCATCTGATAACAACAGAGCTGGCTATGCTGAACAGTTGCTTCTTGGTGCGATTCAGTCAACAATGGGACGTCGTACTCTCTGATATCTCTGATTGATCTCAACTACGAGCACAGTGTTCGAACTTGAAGAAGCCATTGATATAGGAACTCCAACGCGCAGCAAGTCTGAAGGACGAACCTAATCTAAACGCGACGACACATATCACCGAATCGTAGGACCATCCATGCTTCCTCAGTTCCTTTTCCAGCCTGCCAGAGATCTAGTGCCCTACACTAGATCAATCACACGGATGCTTTGCCCAAAAGACCCAAGATCCGTAATGACCGTATTCCTCAGCTGCGGAGAAAGTAATCAACCCCACCATGACATCGCAAGAATCCACATAAACCGTTACTGGAATAGAAGCGCACATAGGATACACTAGACTGATCAACAAAGAACATCGCAACTGAAAGACAAGCTTCTTACGGCCGCCACACGACCAAGCGCAAGTCCCTCGCAACCAGGTCCCCAAAGGTTTGACGCCCCTGGTCCAGTATATATCATCCGCAAACCGCAGATAATTCTACAAGATGTACCATCTTTAGACAACAGAACGGGGATCGGAACCGAAGATGGTCACCGTGTTATCGATCAGGCCATTTGTAATGATGCTGGAGTAGTTAAAGCCGAGGTGGTAACGCTGTAAGCGTCGTCCACGCGGACGAGACTCTTCAAAGAAAGAAATACATGTATCCTGACGTGGATCACAAGATGAGATACGAAGGAATGGGAGGCTCTAGTCATATCCGGCTGTCGGACTGCCGTTTGTCCATCAAATATATGATTTGATCGGCCTAGCTTATGGTTCCTTCAGCCATATGATCGCAACGACAGCTCAAATAGGACGTCTCTATTTCGACTGAAAATCACTAGGTGTAATAGGTACACTGTATCCTTGCCGGGTATCATTAGTCTACATTGCTGGTTCTATCATGACTGCCTTCATCATGGCGCAGGCAGCCGAATCAGGTACGCTGAAGGACGTACAATAATATCTCATCCTTTGTCCGCTCACACTCTGTATAATGTACCGTGTAGGCTCAAAAGGATTCTTAGTGATAGAGCATCTGTGAATGATAGTGTACCTCCAACCCAAATGATGAAGAGAAAGCTATACAGAATCTTCCGGCGCGCACCTCAGAATGCACCATCATCCGACGACTAATCGCCCAGCCCTGACCCTACGACGACTAATCGACGCAGTGAAAGGGCACACGATCAAGAGAAATGTATCCTGCTTTATTCAAAATTCTTTTCCCTGCAAAGAAAGAGACCAAAGACAAACACAGCTGAAATACAACACCACTACCTTACTTCTTGGATGGTTCTGCCTTTCGTCTTCTAGCCACTTGGATATCGACATCAGACGCTCTTCCCCCTGAGACAAGAAAAGGTATAAGAGATCGTCAAGATGGTTTACTTTCCCTCTGAGGTCGTTGACATGATCATGTCCCATGTCGACCCTGAAGACTTCTATACCCTGTTGCAGTGTGCGCTTGTCAATCGCCAGTGGTCCAGATCGGCTCTCCGTGCTCTGTACCGGTAGGTGTTTGCATCGAGACAGGAGATTACCGGCGGTTGCTAACAGGGATAGTGCTGAGGCCCTCTTCCCGGGTGTCCACAGAGCGTCTGCATACGAACACTCCAGGATTGTAAGAACGCACAGTAGCAGGATAGCTGAGTCGTATGCTGACGGAGACATAGTCCATAAGACCACTTACGTGGGCCAGGTTTTGGTGGACTTTGATCGTGTCTGCTTTCACCTTCGAGACTTATCTCCCCTATGCCGAATTCCTTCACACGCTCGACTTATGCGATCTTGCGCTTTTGATTCATCTGGATAAAGACTTTGCCGAGTAAGTGGCTTATGCTCGGTCTTGCTCAAGCGATTGCTGCTAATATTGGGGTAGCAAGTTGCGGTATGGTCGCTTCGCGTTCGACCTCAAAATCATTTGTCTTGAAAATTATTGCAACATCTGTGCTGCCGTCGGTTGGGGTAAGTGTTTGATGGCAGTCGACATGACATGAGGTGCTGATCGACCCAAGTCATTTTAGGTGTAAACTCTGGAATCACCAGGTTGGTCTGTGACAGCTGTCCTGAGACCTGGGATAACGAGGAGGAAAGAGATCGTTATCTTGGAGTTTCTTCGTCCGTCATCGACTGGTGGGCTCCACGTCTGATCCGTCTTGAGACTCTGTGGTACAATATGGGAAAGCATCTGCACGTGGACAATGCACGCAGCATCGCACGCCATTGTCCCCGGTTCAAGAACCTGATGGTGTGGGAATGGATGGAATCAACCATCAGTAGTGCCAGGTTCGCTTATGATGATTCCGACAGTGATACAGAAGAGGAAGATACGTCAGCTGGAGATTTCCTCATGGCCCTGCGGCGCAATACCTTGGAACGGTTCGAGATCTCTCGTGATTCCCATTTCAAGCCTTCCATGGTGAGAGGCCTGATTGCTCATTCCCAATCCATGCGTGTGTTGAGATTGCCCAAGTTCCGGTCGGAGCTGGTGGTCGAACTCATGAAATCGAACCCCCTGCAGTCCCTTGAAGCTATCCACTTTTTCCTCGGTTACGAGAAACGCGCTGAGCTAGCTCAACCGTTCGGAAAGTGGCTCGGTGCTTGCCGAAACTTGCGTCGAATCGAGACTTGGCTCTACCACGACGAACTCTTGATGCTAGCGAATGCCCTCAAGCACGGCATCGCCTCCTTGGAAGTTCTCATCGTCCAGCAGAATTACGAGGATAATCCCAAGATCATCGACGCCTTCTACCGCGGAATCTCACGTCAGCGAAACTTGCAGGAGCTCACATTGAACACAGAGATGACGAGCGACAAGAGTCTATTCATGTGGTGCCTCTTCCCCTTGAAAAAGTTGCGCAAGCTTAATCTCCGGAGAATGTCGTCCCAGCTCACGTTGCCCGACATCAGAACTCTTACCTCCTGCTTCCCCGACCTCACCTGGCTGGGTCTGTACGTGACTCCGGTCCTCGACGAAATCTGGGACTACATCGTTGCCCCCAAGCTCCGCTACCTCCACTTGGTCGGCATTGGTGTGTTGCACGCTCAACCCGTGCTTGATTTCATTCATCGTCTGGGTGAGCAGAACAGGGGATTCATTCTGAAGCTCAAGTTCAGCACATTTGCCGAACTCTACACCACTGTCTCGGACGAGGATCATCGCGCCATTGCATACGCGCTGTTCAGTCATCTGGACGGTCGTCTCCTGCCATACAGAGAAATGCTCTAGCGTGCTCATTGGTCATGATAATACCTATGTTGGTCTGCACATTCGGTTGGATCAGGCATAGCAGCCTGGCTTTCTTTCGACTGTCATTTGTCATTTGTTATTGATTTCAGGATTGATACTGGACGATCTTGGTGGAACTATGCAGGATGTCTTTGAGCATAGATGCTTCGTACCATAATTAGCAATCCAGTCACATCTTCTTGCTGTCATTAGCAGTGGAGTAGCCCTCAACAGTAAGGCCCGACTCCCATACTAATCGGAAAAAACAACCATCTTTAGCTAAAAGTCAAACAGATCAAACAACCCAAACACCAAACAAACAGTCAAAACACAAAGAATGACATCATCATTTTCTCGGCGCACCAATCACCTCCGCCAATTGCTGTATACATCTTTTGTACTGTTTGTTCACGGTTTCAACTCTTCCCAACCCAAGATACCATAAGAACGGGCTGCAGCGGAGGGAGCCCGAAGGTCGTCAAAATGCTTCTTCTCTCATAGGCACACTCTTATAAGCTCTGAGATTTTGAGCGACTGCAAATGCAGATAGTGATCTGACGATATGCTCTCCCACGACCCTGGTCTCGTATATAGTCCGGCTGAGGCGCTGTTGAACCCGTTCCCCTATGTTTGGGCGTGGGTTGCTTCATTTTGGATGAGGGATGTCGTTGAGTCGGTTACGCCGTGTGAGGGGAGTACGTCTGTGTCTAAGCCTGCTGGTGAAAAATGAGCCTTGGTCGGAGGATGACACCAGGAGCGACAGTAAGTTTCCGGTAGGGTGTTGGTTTGACTGGCTATCAAGGCAATGAGAAACTGATATTGTTGATGCAGATAATGCGCGATTCTCCACGATGCTTCTGTCAGGGACAGAAGGACCAACTAGGTCTATCTCCTACATGAAGTAAACTCGGAAGACGAAAAGAGGAGAGGCGTGACGAGGCGTATAGTCTTATGTGGAACAGGAAGTCAAGCAGGACCGAAGGGAATCCAACTACACATGATATTTACGCAAAGAGAAGGCATGACGGGGTACTATAGCCTCACTCGAAATAGGGGAGTCAAGAAACGACCGAAAGGGATCCAACTATACACATTGTATATACTAATGACTTCATGAATCATATTCTGATAAGCACAGCAATGTATATACGCAAAAGCGACAATGCAATGATACCGTTAGTGAGACTATAACTATAAGACCCCCCTCTGCGACTTGGACAACCTCTTGCGCAACTGCTCCCTCGCCTCCTGGCACATCTTGGGGATATCTGCGTTGGCAATGATACCATTCCGGTAGTTGATTGCCTCTTCAATCTTCTTAAAGTCGTCGCCAACGCCCACAGCCAACCACTCGTAGCTATTCCCGATAAACCTGCTGCTCTGTACCAGCCACTGAGACCGCTCACGGCGGCTGGCATCGTAAGCAGCAAGGACAGCCTCGAGGTCCCTGTGAGTCTGTACCCGTTTGTCCTCCAGCAGTGTAGCCAGCACGGCGGTATCCTCGATGCAGAACCCGGCTCCAGCACCGTGGTGCGGCGATGTTGCGTGTGCGGCGTCACCGGAGATACAGATGCGGCCTTTATAGAAGGTAGGGACGGGGTGGTCGCCTAGATCGAAGATTGCCCACTGTCTGAGTTAGTACTGCGATGAGGCTCCAGTAAGGTCAACATACCACGCTGAGCTTCTCCTCGGTTAGTTTCAAAAGGTTGATGACGTTTGGCCCGTAGCCTGCAAAGTCCCGGAGAGCTTCGTCGCGAGTACCCTGCCTAGTCAGCCGGGGGTAGTCGGTCCATTCATAGGGCGAGGTGTGGAAGGCGACGATGTTGAGAGTGTTGCCTTGGTTGACCGGGAAGGTCAATATATGGCCGCCGGGGCCCATCTGGAAACCGGTCAATCAATGAACAAGAATAGAGGATGAGAACACGGACATGCATGCACGAGTTAGACGCCAGTTCCTCCCCAACAGCCTCAATAGCCTTTTCCATGGGTACCAGACCCCGATACGCATACTTGTGTGTATACGACGGGTTCGCGGACGGATGATCATCGCCCACGATGATGCGCCGCACCTGGGATTTGATCCCGTCGCAGCCGATTACCACATCGGTCACATCCTCGGATCCATCCGCAAACTTCATGACGAGCTTGCCATCTGCACGCTCAGCGATATGCTCTAAACGTTTATTGAACCGCGAGATCTCGCGCGGGATTAACTTGATCAGCTCGTTTAGGAAATGCGCGCGATGGACGCCGGTCTGGCCGAGGCTGTTGGAGATGGTGAATGCGATTTCCTGTCGACTCGAGTTCTTCGCGGTGGTCGACGTGCCTTTGTTGTAACCGTCCAGGTAGTCGAACCACACTTTCTGCTTCGAAGGCCATAGATTCCGAGTGCAGACTCTCTCAAAAGCCTCGTAGATGCCCCGGTGGCTGACTTTCATGGCCTCCACTGCATTGGGGCTGAAGGAGACGCCTGCGCCTACCTCGCCGAATGCAGGGGCTTGCTCGTAGATCGTCACTGGGATTTGACGGTGGTAGAGTGCGATGGCCAGAGTCACGCCTGCGATCCCACCGCCAACAACGGCAACGTGGAAGTTCTTCTTAAGGGTCATTTCCGCGTCTTATCCGAATGGTGAGCACCTGATCAAAATATTATGTGAGATGGCGAGGATCAGTCAGAAATGTCGCTCTACGGAGGGAAGTGACTACACGCATGGCAGCCCATGTCAACCATGAGCAGATCATTCAGCCTTGACCCTTCACGGTTTTAAGGGTGTTTTGAATTGCGTGGACTGCTGAGTCGGATATAGAGGAGGCGTATCGGCTAGGCCTCAGGCCCCATCGGATAAAGAGAGACCCACCACCCCATGGGGCATCGGACATCCTCCTTTCGTTGAACAGTGGGCTCGGTAAGTGCGTAGAGAAGTGCAACTTATTCGGCATCGCTTGTCACTCAGACTCCAGCGGGAAAGACATTTAAGCTTCAGTATCATTACTATCATTTCGACGAATGTCGATTGTGGCCAGTTGTCATATCTTGTCTGATCTAGAGATCCGGGGGATTTGCGAGATCCGAAGTGGGTTCGGGTCTCGGGAATTGTCACGTTGAGATTGATAGACTGATGGCTGACAATGACACTGACCGATTAGTTACTACTTCTGTACTCGAGATATTTCATCATACACCATTCAGTCGTGTTGAAATGAAGTTTGTCAGTTTTGTGCCGTTTTATGTATACTGCACCATTGTGCGTTGACCTTGGATCGTATCCGATCCACTTCGTAGCCTAGAGGCCAAACGTTCCTTTGACATTGTATGCCTTCTCCGTAGATATGGCCTATTAGATCGACTCATCCAGATGATTCCACGCAATAACACAGCTATTAAGAGAAATAATATCTTCGCAAGTCGGTGATGACCTCATGCGAAGTAGATTGCAGCGGGGCGGTGCGCGGATATAGACATGTGGATTGTGGAGAACTATAAGCACGTTCAACAGCTTCAAGGCTGCTATCTACCATAGCTTCCTTCCATTCAGTTACTATGACTGGGTCCTGCTGCTTGATCATCATGACCTGGTTAAGGCTTTCTCCTTAAGCAGACCGGAAAGCTGCAAGATTGGGTAAACTCCGGCCATCCTCAGAAAACAAATGTGATCCAATGACAATACTTTGTCTTTCTGCATCTCATCAAAAGCGGCAATTGGGCTAGTTCCAGTCTTATGTTAGTGTGAGGTACCCAGAAAATTAGTACTGGCCAAAGGCGGCAGGTGTCGCGCAGTAATTATTTTACGCATGGTCAGAAGTTGAGAACTCTGGGACCTGGAGCTGGGGTTGGATTGAGCGAAGTACTTAAGAACAACCTGAGAGGTTAATCTCAACGTTGAAAGAGCGATGTCTAGTCTAAACAGAGTTTACAGAGATCATCTGCTCACGTATTGTTGAGAGTTGGGGGATAGAATTTGAGACCGACAAGCTAGGTAGGCAAGCTAGAAAGAGCTTCAAGCTGCATAACTGTGTCACCTGCCTTTGCTCTGCGGCAGTATTGCTAGGTATCGGATAACCGGCCCATCTTCGTCCTGGTCCTGGTGATTCCACACGGCTGGTATCAGATATATCCTGTAGACTATATCACATCTGTTCCCTTACCTTCTATTAAGAATTTCTTGAAATATGGTCGCTTACCTGGTTTCCTAACTTGGAGGTAGATATCAGCCTACCTCAACTTTTATTGTGCACCACAGTATTGAGTAGGTAAGGTACCTCCAGTCCTCAGCTATGTAGGTAGTTGGCTGAGACTAAGAACAATACAAAATACCCTTGCTGTGAGGGGTACATATGCACCTGATTGAAACTAGAATCTGCACACGTTATTCTAAATTAATATTAGAACCGTGAACAAGCCTGGTTCCCTAAGCGAAGTACTCCATTCGTCGTAATTCGTAAACTACCGAAAAGTAAACCCATAGCCTACGGAGTACGTAGGACCAAAGAATCAACGGGAACATACGGCAACTGGAATTTCTCTCAAGGACGAATTGGGCATCGACGCCCCTCTCCAGTCCACCCCAGCCACCGGAGGAGCGAGTTGCTTCGGAGGTTCGCTCAAACTCAGCCATACAGGGTGAGAAGCCCCTTTTTTTTAATCGCATGTTTTTCCTAGTCTTTGTTCCTTAAATATGGAATCAGCCCGCATGCTCAATTTTTGCTTCCAGTTGCCACTGTACTGCCAAAAATTTTCTGTATTTAATTTTCTGTATCTCACTTCGCCTGCGTCGAGAAGGCCGGTGCCCCACCTTGGAACAGAATAAAGACTGGAGTGGAGTAGCACTAAGATGGAATTTTTGCCATCGACTAGCCCGGTAAGGTTTAGCTGCTCAAATAGAGGCTTACTAAGGTAAGATTAGAGGCAGCTGGACTGGAGCTGGAGCTCTGGAATGAAAGCTCCCACCCGGAGCTGGGGAGAGCTATGCACTTATGGAGTCCCAAAGGAGGTGGTGCTT